AAGAGTTAGCTGTTTCCTACTCCTCCTTCTTTTCTTTTTCTCCTTCACTCTATTTTTATTTCATCCTCATAGACTAAACAGATGTTATTAGTTCCTGTGCATTGTACTTAAATATGTGCATCATGAGATGACTTCTGAGTGAAGACACACAGTTTGCACTAGGGATAAGATTAGCTTCTGTTCTGATGGACGTTTTGTCTGTTAGAACCACATTAGAATGACCACAAGGTCTCTCTTTTATTTTTCCAAAGGCACTCTGAACCATTTATTCCTTGACCATTATTTATGCCATTTATCTCTAGCTCTAGGACTTGCATTAGTTAGGTAGGGCTGCCATAACAAAGTACCTCAGACTGGGCGGCTTGCACCAGAAATTTATTCTGTCAGTTCAGGAAGCTAGAAGCCCAAGATCAGAATGTTGTTGCAGTGGTTTCTTCTGAGGCCCCTCTCCTTGGCTTGCAAGTGGCCTGACCACCTTCTTGCTCTGTCCTCACATGGACTTCCTTTTGTGTGTGTACATCACTGGTGTTTCTTTGCATGTCCAAAATTTCTCTTATTATAAGGACACCAGTCAGGTTGGTTAAGGGCCTATCTATAAGACCTCACTTAAACTTACCTTTTCAAAGGCTCTCTCTAGATACAGTCACATTCTGAGGTACTGGGGGTTAGAGTTTCAACACATAAATTTTGGGAGGATGCAGTTCAGTCCAAAACAAGGGTGGAAAGCCTCCCCATGACTTTCACCCATATAATGTCTTCTCATGTTTCATTGGGCAAAATTATGTTATGTTACCATACTTAAACTAATCCGTGGCCAAAGAAATAGGGTCATACTCATTGGCATAAACCTTTCAGGCTTACCATTAGAACTGAGAATAGGATAACCCCTCCTTGGTTCCTGTGATGGAAAGAAGTAGATACCACGTGAATTGAAGGTCCTTCAAGCAAGGAAGTAGGTGAGGACTGTAAGGATGGCAGGCAATTTGTATTCATGGCAGCATGGGCTTGTGGTTTATTGGTGATTTAGGCTGATTTAAATGGTTAGAAGCAGAGATGATGATGAATATGCTAAGCACAAGTGAAGTGTAGGAAATAAAGCCAGACACTTGGGTGCCTTTTAGAATGTCAAGTTAAAGGGAGTAATTAAGAGAGAAGCTGGTATATGAGGGAGAATGGTAATGGATAACCAGAGATAAAATCTCTTCAATTCTCTGAGGTGAAGAGAATTTGAAAAGGTGGCTCAAGAAATAGTTCCTCATATCCTGAGTTTACAGTACAGGTGACATATTCAGAACCTTATTTCCTTATTTGTAAAATGATGATGGTAAAATAAATTATTTTACCAATTTAGAGGATTTAAATATAATACATTAAGTGATAGGAGTTATTAAACTATAAAGTATTATATAGGTATTAGAAATTATTTTTATGTAAAATTACAGTATTTATTCTACTACTTAAAATTTTTTTGTTAATTCTCACCTAAGGACATGTTTATTGATTTGGAGGGGGAGGAGAGAGAGAGAGAGAGAGAGAGAGAGAGAGAGAGAGAGAGAGAGAGAGAGAGAGAGAGACATTGTCTTGAGAGAGATACATTGATTGGCTGTCTCCTGTACATGCCCCAAAGGGGGATCGAACCAGAAACTTGGGTATATGCCCTGACTGGGGGTTGAATCCTCAACATTTTGATGTATGAGCTGACACTCCAACCAAATGAACAACTTGTCCAGGGCTTTATTCTACCACTTTTGACTTGTTTGTATCTAGCATAACATGGGAGGGGAATTTAGTCCAGTAAACATTTAACAGAATTAATGTAATCTGTCATGTCTCATTTTTACTCATAAAGGAATAATTTGCACTGTAATTATCAGATAATATGGGATCTCTGAATTTTAAAAAAGCCATGTTCAAAATGTTTATCTTTAAGCTCCAGTCTGTTCTGGTGTATGCCTTTCCTTGGTGAACATGCAGTTGTTGCCCTGGGTACACGGGTGTGTGTGCATGTGCGCATGCAAATAATTTTGGATAAGCTGAGTTTTATTGCTGAAATAAATATTATTACTAGTAAGTATTTATGGTGGAGAGATATTTTATCTGAATGTATTTAGAAATATGGAGCTTTCCACAATGAGGCTGGCATACTGTATATTTTAAAATGTTTACTCAATTTAATAGATTTTGCATAAGAAATACAATATTGATAGTTTCATTTTATACTTTGTTTCCTCTAGAAAATTGAGAGAAACAGTGATGATTTAAAAAGGGATGACATTTTGAGAACTGCCTGTACTCTTAAGTTACCAGAAACTTTCTCTGGTTGGTGTGGCTCAGTGGATTCAGTACTGGCCAGTAAACCAGAAGGTTGCCAGTTTGATTCCCAGTCAAAGCACATGCTTGGTTGCAGGCCAGGTCCCCAGTTGGGGGCACATGTGAAGCAACCACACATTGATGTTTATCATCCTCTCTTCCTCCCTGCATTTCCCCCTCTCTAAAAATAAATAAATAAAATTTTGCGGAAAAAAATACCCCTTAATTTATGTGCCAGTAGGTCCAGCATGACTGTGAAAACAATATATAATATTTAACTAAGAGCTGTCACATAGTAAGGAAAGAAAATCTTCCTTGGACTTAAAGAAGCAATAATATCCCACAGTGAATTTTTGTTGATACTCAGCTAAGGGCAGAGGGAGACATTTCTGTTCTGCTAGATGATACTTTGCTCTCAGGCATAATGCCACACTCACGGGGCAATTGTCTGAGCTTCACAGCTTTCTTGTCTAGGTTTGGACAAGATGGACTGATAACATCCACTAGTCACCAGCATTTTAATAAGATTTCTCACTGTAATTATAGTTATCATACATTGATACAATTTAAGATTTTACCAGATGAATGTATTACTTTGCAAACCTATGGTGATGAGGTAAATGGTAGTGACCATTGTTTTTTAGGAAGAACAAGTTCAAATAGCATCAAAAAGTTGTATTGAAAGGCTTTTTTATTGAGAGATTTTTACTGAAGAAGTGCTAGTCTGTTTTTTAATTTTTATTTTTTTAATTTTAATTGTTTTTTTTAAAATTTTAAAATTATATTTTATTGGTTATACTATTACAGTTGTCCTGGTTTTTTCCCCTTTGTCTCCCTTCACCCAGCAACCCTCATTCCATCAGGCAACCCCCACATCATTGTTCATGTCCATGGGTTATGCATTTAAGTTCTTTGGCTACTCCATTTCCTATACTGCACTTTACATTCCCACAGCTATTCTGTAACTACCTATTTGTAATTGTTAATCTCATCACCTCTTCACCCTTTCCTCTACAAACCATTCCCATCTGGCAACCATCAAAATGCTCTCCATATCCATGATTCTGCCTCTGTTCTTATTTGCTTAGTTTGTTTTTTAGGTTCAATTGTTGATAGATATGTGTTTATTGTTACCTTATTGTTCATAGTATTGATCTTATTCTTTTTCTGAAACAAGTCCCTTTAACATTTCATATGATAATGGTTTGGTGATGATGAACTCCTCTAGTTTTTTCTTGTCTGGGAAGTTCGTTATCTGCCCTCAATTCTAAATGATATCTTTGCTGGGTAGAGCAATCTTGGCTGTAGGTACCTGTTTTCATGACTTTGAATATTTCTTGCCAATCCCTTCTAGCCTGCAGAGTTTCTCTTGAGAAATCATCTGACAGTCTTATAGGAACTCTCCTGTAGATAATTAACTTCTTTTCTCTTGTTACATTTAAGATTCTCTCTTTATCTTTAACCTTTGGCATTTTAATTATGATATGTCTTGGAGTGGGCATCTATGCATCCATCTTGTTTGGGACTCTGTGCTTCCTGGACTTGCACGTCTATTTCCTTCACCAAATTAGTGAAGTTTTGTTTCATTATTTTTTCCAATAGATTTCCAATTTCTTGCTGTTTCATTTGCCCTTCTGGCACCTTTATGGTGCGAATGTTGGACTGCTTGAAGTAGCCCCAGAGGCTGCTTACACTATCTTTGTCTTTTTGGATTCTTGTTCTGGTTGGTTGTTCTTTGCTTCCTTATGTTCCAAATCAGTGATTTGATTCTTGGCTTCATCCATGCTATTGTTGTTTCCCTGTAAGTTGTTCTTTATTTCAATTAGTATCTTTTGTTTCTGACTGGATATTCTTTATGCTGTTGAGGTTCTCACTAAGCCCCTGAGCATCTTTATAACCAGTATTTTTAACTCTGCATCTCGTAGATTGCTTATCTCCTTTTGTTTGATTCTTTTTCAGAAGTTTTGATCTTTCTTTCATTTGGACAGTGTTTCTTTGTCTCCTTATTTTGGAAGCCTCCCTGTGTTTGTTTCTATGTATTAAGTAGAGCTGCTTTGACTCCATGTCTTCCTAGCATATTCTAATGTAGTAGGTGTCCTGTATGGTCCAGCAGCACAGCCCTCCCCCACCATCACCCAAGCTGGGTACTCAAGGTGTACCTTTCATATTGGCTGAATATACCAAGCTCTTGTAGTTGAGCCTTGATTGCTGTTGGCAGATCAATGGGAGGGATTTACCCAGAACAATCAGCTATAAGCACTGACTGTTACCACTGAACACTCCTTCCTCTGTGGAGGATCAACTGTGCAGGGACAGGGTGGTGGTGCTCTGACATGGCCTGTAGCTGCCCACTGGGTGCACGGGCACTGGAGTTTTCCAGGAGGTGAAGGCCACAGTCAGCCCCAACCTGTGTTCTTCCCAGGGCCAACCTGCATGAGCTATAAAGCCATATGAGATGGCTGCTACTTGTATTGGGCCTGGAGATTCCCAGGTGAAGCCATGCTATGAATTTAGTCTGACTGCTGCTAGTGCAAGGCCTGGGGCCACTCAGCAAGAAGTACAGGGGCTAGGGACTCACTGAGGCCAGCTGTTGCTTGTTTGATAGGATTTAGGAAGGTTTGAAGTATGAGCCAAGATCAGCTATTTATATTAGAAAAGTCACTGTTAAAGGTTTGGGTGGGCCTGCAGGTTGGGTGGGACAGAGCTTCAGGGGATCTCCAGGGCAGGGTAAGCAATGTTAGCCAGGTTGATGGAGTCTGAGATATTGAACTCACCTCTCAGCTCTATAGCTCTGTGCAGCGAAGGTTCAGAAAAGGCACAATGGCAACTGGTCACCTTTCTGTCTGGGGAAAGCTGTCCCCAGCTCCCAACTTGATGCCAGGTACTTCAGTACCTCCCTATATGCCACTGGTGCCTTTCAAGGTGCTATCCTGGTACTAGAGCCCAGAGGGAGTGTATCTGAGTAAGTCATGTATCGGTTTTGTACAGCAAAGTGCTTGGGACTCCAGAAGTTTCTTTCATTGACTCAGTCATCTCTGGTGTTTATAGCCAGAAGTTATGGAGACTTATCTTCCTGACACTGGAACCATGGGTTGGGGGGCCTGGTGTAGGGCTGGATTTCTCCACTTCTGAGATATCCCTCCCAAATATACCACATGGGGTTGGAGAAGAGCCTGTTCCACGTCTCTGCTCCCCCTACTAGTCTGGATGGATTTGGTTTCTTTAATTCCATAGTTGTTAGACTTTTATTCAGCTTGATTTCTGTCTGTCTGAGTGATGGTTGTTCTATATTTTTGTTGTAGTTTTGATGTGGTTGTGTGAGGAGGTGAGCTATGTTTACCTAGGCAGCCATCATGACTGGAGGTTGCTACTCTGTTTGATATTGCTTTCCTGAAGAAGTTATTTCACAGCAGAGTGAGGTCTAGAAAAGAAGGCAAAGTTTGTATTTACACGAATGTCTACTTTCAGTGCATAGTCAATCTATTGTAGGAAATTAATGGGTTGTGGTTGCGTTTTGAACAAAGAAAAACATGTCCTTTGAAAGTAGATTACACTGTATTGGGACCACCTGGTCACTGTCCTAAACTCTGATTCAAACTGTTTCCTATGACACTGGTACACAGATTACAGATGATTTAAACTAATTTGCATCTACTTCTTTATTTCCAGTATAAATTTTCCTCTTAATTTGTGAATTACATTCTATATTCTATAATTTTATTAAAAAACACTACATGTATGCACATATATACAGATAGAGTTATAAAGAGACAATGAAAAGTTAATAGTGATTGCTCTGTTTTATGAGATTATCATTAATACAATTTGGGTTCAGTTGCAGGTAAAAAAAAGAAAATTTATAAGATAATTATATATTTACAAAATTATTGTAGAGGCTAAAGAAGCAGGCTCTGGACTGAGCTTCCAGAAACAACTCCCTGACTTGCTAGGTTGTCTGCTTTCTCTGCCTCCAGGACCAGGTCAGCTCAGCTGAGATCCATACCAGCAACATGATATAGCCAATAAATTAGGGGACAGACATTGTTATCTCTGTTACCACCGCAGCAGAAAAACTAACACCAGCAGGACTGTGCTTGACAGCAGAAAGCAGAAGTGCAGGTGCAACCTCTTTCTATCTTCCAAATATGTATGGACATACCTGCTTGGTGGAAGTTGGGATACATAGGGACACTGAGCTCAGTGAATCTTCTAGTCTTTCAGGTCCCATCATCCAACATGCTGGAGGGTAGCTACAGGGGATTGGAATGGAGTTGTGAACCAATATGTGATAGTGGATGCAAAGGTGGATTTCAATTTCATCCTTTGTAACTGGATATTTTCTAAGTTTTTCAGCATTGAGATAGGAAAAAGTAATAAAATTCTATATTAGGAAGTTTTAATGTTATTACACAGGTTTAACAACCATTACTTTGATAGTTACTTGCTTGGTTCTCAACTGAAAAAGAATTGTTCATACTTTTCCTCCTGCAAAGTGAGATCCAATTCCAAGTAGGGTTTCTGTGTTAATATAAAATTATAGAACATATTTAAACTTATATGAAATGCAAAGCAAAAAACATACATATAAAAGGCAAATATGACTGGAGATACCTAGAAAGAGGATAAAAGGGTATATATATTTAGAAAAAAGAATACAACTATTTTTTATCTTGATGCAACAATGACACAAAATTTTACCTTGTTGGCCAGCTTAACAAAAAAGTACCCTCTTTGTAACTTCCCTGTGAGGGCAGAGAAAATGTATCTAGAAAGTGAATCTTCTCAAGTCAATCACATAAGACTCTACCTGTCAAACATAGCAGATTTAGCTTGGTGATGCTTATGACACTGTCTACCAAAAGAGAGCAGCTTGAACATAAAAATAGTTTTGTGCCTTAGGGAGAAGTGCTGTTTCTTTCCTTGTGATATACATCTGTAGACTCATCTCTATCCAGAATACCCATTCAATTTGATTGCACTGCTTTCTATTCTGTATGCTTTAGATGTCTGCTGAGTGCCTACTCATGAACAATGTGCACAAAAATTCAGCAGTGGGAAGGTCAGGTCTCTGGTTCTTTGAAAACTTTCTTTGGGAGAGGTGAGTTGAGACACCCACAGTTACGTAATGAGAAAAACTTCAAGTGACTAAAAGTCATAGTAGATTTTCAGATAGAAAATAATTTCATGGCAGATTGCTTCTGCATTAACTAGAACAACATATTCGAAGCATGGAAAATTAAAAAAAAACATCTTCATGGGTCCTACTTTTAGAATTTGATTCAGTAATTTGAATGCATGACTGAGAACTCTGTATTTTTAAAAATCTTCTCAGGAGTTTCTGATAATCATCTAGATATTAACCACTGGACAAGAGGAGGCAAAGAGGACCTGCTGCAATCTGCCTTGACATACTGACATCATACACATTTCTGTTAATACCAGTCATTGGGAAAGTTTGAAAAGGCACAGTTTTACTGGCAATAAAAATAAAGAAATGACATCAACCATGTATTTATTCTCTCTCCAATTTTTCCTCCCATATACAAGCATTCACCGCCGAGGAACCTGTGCCTGACTGTGGATGCTATGCTAAGGCCCTTTTTTAACTGTGATCTGATGACATTGGATGTCTAGAGAAAAGGAATGGACATGCCAATAACACTAGTTTCTCCTTATGTTCAGTGCTCAGGATTCATAGAGACTTCTTCCCTTAGTTCTATTTACTGAAGCATGTCTGTGCCTGTCTGGACCTGACTGAGCCATCTTCCGCAAGGCTGCTATATCATAAGTAGGAGCTTAGTTTTTATTGGGGAATGTGCTCTATGAGGCACTAAAAAAGCACAAGATTTTATTTAAGGGATGGGGGCAATCAGTCATTCTCCTGTAGATCTTAACCATTTCTCATTCCCTAACAGCATTCCTTCCATGGTGTCTGCTCTGAACAACCTTATTCAGTTGGTGGTGAGGTGAGAACAAGAAGGGTCAATGGGGCAAGAAAACCTGTAGTGCTTCAAAAAAGATAAAAATCTGATCCTTTGATTATCTTGCTCCACATTTTTCATTGGTTCTTCATTGTTCTCAGAATATTACAAACTATGGAAACATGACATCTAAAGGCCGCCAATATCATGATTACACCAGAGATGCAGTACACATTAAACATTCTATCTGTTATCTTAGATTTTTTTCTAGGTCCTTATCATTTTTGGGAGGTAGTAGTGGGGAACATGTAACTAGTGCTAGTGAATAAGCTGTGGGTACAAGTGATGTGTATTTCCTGTAGGCTGAAATATTCAAGACACCTTTCCCTGCCAAGGTGACCAGGAAAGCCAGATGTGCTAGCTATTACAGCTCTGAGATGGTGGGTCTCCATCATCCTAGATCCCTGAGTAGCTGTGCACATATCACCACTACTAGCTTGCCTCCAGCTTACATTGGGTACATATATAAATGAGAGAGAACTATTATTGTGTCAGATCACTATTTTGGCATTTACTTGTTAACTGAATATAACCTAGATGGTCCTGAATAATATGTAGAACTTGCCTATGCTTCTCACTTCATCTTCTTCTGCTATTTTCTTTACAGTTGAAACTCCACAGCCAGACTGAGTTTCAGGTTCTTTGAAAGTGCGTACCTCTGACCCTTTGTGCATACTGCTGCCTTTCTAGATAGCTTTTCCAGTTTTTCTTCATTTGTCTAACTTTCCACCTTCTTTTTCTCAGTCAGGACATCATTTCCTCCAGGAAACCCTTTTTGATCTTAAAAGGTTTCATCACATACAGTGGGTTCATTGTAGAATTAGAATTAGATTTTCTAATTAGGTGCCCTTTCTCTAGCTACTTGAATTTCCCCTGTACTTACCACACCATGAAGTAATTCCCTGTTTAGTTATCCATGTGTTCCTTTGGGCTACAAACAAGTGTATACAGATATCATATCTGTATTGACTACCGTTGTATTCCTAATATAAAGAATAGTATAAACGACATGGTAAATCTCAATAAAGATTTGTGGAATATTTATTGAAAACAGAAGGTTGTACTCTAGAAACTTCAAAAGGAAATCACTTTCAGCTGATTATGCATCATGATCTCAGACCAGCCAATTCTGGAACAATGGCCAACATTTATTATATAAAGTACATGAAATCATGTGTATCACTTATTTCTCTGTAGACATAGAAGAGTTAGATTAAAAATAAAAATATGTGGTTTGATATAATAAAAACTATTTGTTGAATAAATGATTGAATGAACAGACTTACCAAGGCTGGGTTTGGGGAACCAGGGCAAGAGGCAGACTGAGGGAAACAGCAAGGCACAATTGGAAGGCTGCTGAACATTTGCCTTCGGGACACACAGATGATGTTATCCATCTCTGCTCTACTGACTGCTTGGTTGCTGGGCCTCCTGCACCCTTCCGATGTTGCTCTTTCCCTGTTGGCCTGCCATAATTTATCACAGATATGTTAGTGTCTATTGCCAAAGATTAAAAAATCCAACTGGCTCCTGAATCCTAAGTGGCAAATGTTTACTATAAACCAGATGAAGACAGGCTGTTCCCTTAGCAGTATTTTGCTTCTAAGTAAGAGGAAAATTAGTCTAAAATTTGATTGCTGTAATGTAAAAGAAGAATCAGTCCATATCTGTCTGCTTCATTTTGAAGTATCCTTTGCACTCCAAGTAATTTTTTTAAAATGGGAGCAGTCTGTTCCAGCTTAGAAAAGCTGAAAGAAGGCACTGCACATAGTATATTTTTCTATTGTTCTTTTTCCCCCACCCTGGGTTTGGCAGTGCAGGAACACCATTTTCCTCTGCCAAGTGATGTTCTGATAAAAAGAGTGGTCATTTCTGAATGTGTACCATGGTTAAAATGTATCCTCTATATTTTAATGAAAGTTGTTTACCCAGAAATCTTGTTCCAGCTAGCAAATGGATTCAAATGCTGAAAGTAGATGAGTTGATTAAAAGAATCAAATAAAATACCAATTTCCCACTTTCCCCTTCATTTTAATCCTATTCTCTAATGGTTTCTTTCTCATATTTAAAATTCTGTTGGGCTCAAGTAAGAGGCAGTCAGATAATTAGAAAAGAAATTAAAGAGAAATGCAATGGATGGATGTTTTTTAGAAGCTCAGAAAAAGCTTAATATATCTATTGCCATTTGCCTGAGTCTATTAGGGAGTTATAGTGCAGAATATTGAATCCAAGCCTTGTGATTTTTCTAGATGTCAGCATCAGTAGCCAGAGGGCTTGCTCTTCATCAGGACAATCTTTACCCTTCATAAGGTTGGCCCTGAATAAATAGAAAGCACTGATTAAGAGAAGTGAGGATGGGGAATATTTTTGATGTTTCTTAGGTTTCAAATAGTACCCTTGGGCATTTATTATTTGCATCTCTCTCAGCAGAGAGCCCCAAGTGTGTCTCTTCATAAATTCTCTGTGTTCTGCCTTTAGTAATAAACCCTTTGGGTAAATGAAAAGGAAAGATAAAACTTCTTCTCTGTCTTCAAGGAGTATATGAATGATTAGAGAGATAACACATAGAAAATTCAAGCATAATTAGAAAATAGCAGAGGAACATGGGCAAGATAACCTGGTATAAAGTAGGGCCTGTGTAATAAGAATCATATATTGTGGAGAGAGCATAGCACAGTGTTTTTGAAATAATTTAGAATAATTAATTCATGATTTAGAATTAATAATCACTAATTTAGAATGAATTCATTTCCAGATTCAGCATTTTCTAGACCTTTTAAAAACCAAAGTCAGTAATAATATAAATCAATAATAAAATACATTATTAATAAAAATCAATAATAATATACATTATTATTAAAATAACATACCAGCCAAGTGCAAAGTGCCTTAAATGCATTACCTACTCAATCTTCCAAACAATTTATAAAGTTCGTACTATATGCAAACTAATATATACATACCCACATAAATGAATGTTTGTATATTTTGTTTCATGTATCAAACTAAAGAATCTGAATAAAAATTTTTCTGTTGTAAGTCCTCACTGAATCTTGTAGGTAGGTTCTGTGACTGCAATCAAAACAATCCATAACAAAACCAATTTTATCAAAGGCTAATTGATATAAATGAGGTGAGTTTTTATGGCATCCCATCAATGTTATAATGAACGACGCTTAATGAAACTACATCATTCAAGAACCTGCTGTGTAATCCAGGTTTTCTTGTACATAATTTCAATAAAAACGAGTAGCAGTGTTTGCACAGAAAAATCATAATTGTTACTATATAACAATATAAATATAAATGTAGAATAAAAGCTAATATATAGTTGTTACCAGGCATTCTTCTAATGTGTGTGTGTATTTATTTAACACAATCACAGAAAGTCTATACTGATCATGAAGATTACCAATAACAACCTGCAGTGCTTATTATTGACTTTGGGGACATTTAAAACCATTAAACATTTAAAAAAATTTTTTGAACTCCTTAATTATTAGCATTTGTGTACTTGGGTGACCTTAATGGTGAAAAAAGAAAAACTAAATTATTATTTCTCAGCAATATATATCACCCAAGAAAATCAACAATAATAATTTATAACCTCAGCAGAGCTCCCATGAAATATTTGTTCCACAGCATTATATTGTCTTGTTTGAGAGATCAGGTTTTCCTAATATTTTATCACCAGCAACTATTTTTTAAAAAATTTTCAGTCACGAGTTCCTTTTATTAAAAGATCATCTGTTTGTGCAGCAATATTTCTTTAAACAAGAGATTGAGAAATCAAGGAGGAACACATATAATACCAAAGCCACGTATAGGTCTTATAGGCAGAAACACTGTGGTAGGTAGAATAATGGAAAGGACCCACCAGCCAAGGAGTGTAGACTGAAAAATGTGAGGAAAAGAATTCTCCCCTAAAGCCTCCTGAAAGAATGCAGCCTTGGGAATTTACTTTGTACCCTGATTTCCAAATCTGTAAGGTAATAAATTTGTGTTGTTAAGCAGAACAGAAACAAAATCATAGATACAGAGAACATTTTGTTGGTTGCCAGATGGGAGGGAGTCAGGGAGATTGGCAAAAAAGGCAAAGGGATTATTAAGTACAAATTGGTAGTTACAGAATAGTCATGGGGATATCAAGTACATCATAGGGAATAGAAGAACATATATGCATGACCCATAGACATAGACAACGATGTGGGGATTGCCTAGAAAGGAGGGTGCTGGGTAGAGGGGGCAAAGGGGGAAAATTGGGACAACTATAGTAGCATAAATAATAAAATACAATTAAAAAAAATTTAAATTGTGTTGTTTTTAGCCACTAAGTTTGTGGTAATTAATTTATTACAACCGCAATAGGAAACTGATAAAGATACTAAATGGGGTAACCATCATTTTCTTTAAATCTAGTCTCCCCATTTGACTATTTTGACTAAAATATGTCCATGATACTAAGATGCATATTTCTCCCTTTTAGCATCTTAGACATAGGGATGCATCTTAAAATCAGTGTCATCTCACAATTGCTGTCAGGCAACAGAAGGAGTAGCATTGTTACCCACTCTTTTGGGAAACTAAAACCACCATAAAAAAAAACATCTAGAATGTGTGTTAATTATTTGAAAGAAAATGCCAGAGAGAATAGTTAAACTCTATTAAAACATTTTTATTTTGAAATAATTTCAGATTTTCAGAAAAATGGAGGAAAGAATTCCCGTATAAGTTTGACTCCCATTCCACAATGGTTAACACTTTACCACGTTTGTTCTACCAATGCATTTCTGTGTAATTGGGTTTCTTTTCCTGAATGATTTGAGAGTAAACTGCAGACATGAAGACTGGACACCCTTTAATTCAATACTTAAATGTGTATATCATAAAAACAAGGTCATTTTCTTACACAACCAAGGTAGAGCTACCAAAAAGAATCAATTAACATTAATAAAACACTCTATTTTACTCTACCACCACCATCACCCTGGACATGGGAAATTATACTGCCCAATTACAGGAAGTTAAAAAGACCAGAAGTCATTGGATCATAGCAATACAAATCATTCCATATTTAGCTAACACGTCTTTAGAACAATAAAGTGTATTGTTTTGGATGCTGGTTCTCATTTACAGGTGATCTAGAAAAAAAATGTTAGTGATTACTTCAGCAGCTGCAGTGAACAAAGAATTATTATTTCCTTCCCTTTTTGGTTCTTTTGAGTTCTCAGGAGGTACAGCAGAAAAATTAACAGCAGATGGCTCGAAAGGAGATTATATTGATTTTAAAAATTCTACCCTATTCCTAAAAGAATTTAATGTAGCTCAAAAAAATTTCCAGAGCAGGAACTTCTAATTGTTCTGGATGTAAGTCTTCCTAGGGGAGAGATATCATTTCCACTGATTTACAAAGCAAATACCTTGGTTTACTGGTTTACAGATGTTGTTTGGTCCTTGCATGTTTAGGACGTCTGGCTTTAACTGCTGTGGCAGGGACCCATCTTAATCCTGCTCCAAAGCACCTAGAAAATCAAAATTATTGGAAGAAATGTATCTAAGACATATTCTAGGTTATCCTCTAATTTCTTGGAGAAGTCTGGATAAAGATGTGCTGTGCCCATTAGGAGTTTAATGACTTGCACTGTTGAAAGGGAACAACCACACATTGAAAGAGATGAAGAGAATGAACTAACATTCTTGAGAAATTTACTAAGCTTCCCACTCTAACAGAACCAATCTCTTCATCTTATGTTTTCTTCCTGATGTATGCCCCCAAATTATGTATGATAAAAATCTGTCTCGCAAGCAGGGGCAGCTATATAACTTGCAGAGCCCTAAGCAAAATAAAAATGCAGGTTCCATGTTCAAAAAGCAGAAAAAAAGTTCTTCCTTTTTTCCCCAACGTTTTTTCCTCTGTCATAGTCTTTTGACTTATGCTGTCTGCAGACCCTGCAGCGTGTTGGGAGCTCCCTGGGCCAACTTCTCTGAGGTTTATCCGTGTGAGTTAGCTCATCTAAAGACAGTATACTTGAACTGAGCTTCCCCTTTTTAAGATTTTAAGACACACCCTCACCCTGTATAAATACACATATGAGCAATACCATTTTGAAGAAATTTCTCTGAATTTACCACAACTGTGATTGAACACAGTGCTCATCGTGTTAATAAAGCTGATGGCTTTCCTTCCGTCAATTCTTCTTTAGCGCAAATACAGGGGCTGCTGATTGATTGTAAGTTTAAATGTTCTTTAAACAAACATTCACTTTGCAGTTAATCTGTGTAAGACATACTTCTCAGTCCAGAGGACATGGCAGTAAACAAAATAGATTAAAAAATCGTTGCTTTCATGGAGCTTACATTCTAATAGGAGAAGATAGACAATGTAAATAAATGAGTTAAAAAATTGGATGGTAATAGGTGTTTTGGAGACAATGCAGAGAAGGGAAATAAGGACAGCTGAGGTAGATGCATGGTGGTGGGAGGTGAGGGGTTAATTAAAAAAGGGATGACTGGGAAAGGCTTACTTGCCAGGGGTGTCCAACCTTTTGGTGTCTCTGTGCTACACTGGAAGAAGAGGAGTTGTTTTGGGCCACACATTAAATACATTGTGACATGTAATCACAAAAAAAATCTCAAGGTTTTAAGGAAATTTGTGATATTGTGTCAGACCACATTCATAGCCATCCTGAGCTGCATGCAGCCTGCGGGCTGCAGGTTGGACACCAAGAGGACACTTTAAATAAACACTTGAAAAAAGTGAAGCATCTAGCCAAGAAGGTATCTGGAGAGCATCAAGTGCAGAGCCTGGTGTTGTCCAGGAACTGCAGCAGAGCAGTGTTTTTGGACGAAGGAAGCAGGGACAAGAGAAGTTCCAGTAGATGCTGAGGTTGGAGGGACTGTGAACTTCCATTACTCAAGGTGTTGACTATTAACTAACTAAACCAACATTAAACTAACTAAATGTTAGTTTAACTTCCCTAAAGTGGCTAACTATAGTTAGTGCCATTTTAAGGAGAGTTGTATAAAAGGTTCACCATGACATGAGTACATGGGCCTTATGGGTCCTTATGAGATCTCATGATTCTTGGTTGTTGTGAAGATACATTGTACTCTTACTGGGCAGGTGTCTTCAATTTTCAAACAAGTTGGGGAGAAACTGAAAAATCAAATTCTGTTTTTCCCTTATTGAAATGTAGACTCTATGAACACAAAGCATTTTGCATTTTCTGTTTATTGCTCTGTCTCCAGGAAATAGAAGTGTGAAAAATCAGTATTTGCTGCAAAATAAGTATTTGTTGACAGACTGATCATTTAAGCTTTCAATCAATCTGTATCCCCTCCAGTCTTGCTAAGGTTGAGTTAACTGAAAATGATCAACTTGTACAGAGTTAAAAAGAATGATTTGTGGTAGAGATATTAATAGATCTTCCTTTATAATCATGACAATGTTTTAAAGAATGAAGGCAATTAGTCATGTTACAAATTTAACACTTAAAATCTCATATTTTCAGGAGTAGTTATCTCTTCTTTCAGTTATATGCATGTCCCAATTCCTCAGTTCTTTGTTCAAATACAATTTTGTCTATTTAAATGTATATTTCTTGACCACCTTATCTAATGCGCCTTCCTTCCCCTTTCCTGTTACTTTCTATTTTCTTTATTTTTTAAAATTTAATCTTTATTGTATTTTTTTCATTTACATTTAGTCCCCCAACTTCATTTTTTTATGTGTAAAAAATGAGTTGAATTGTGTCCCCCACAAAAATCTATGTTGAAACCCTAACCACTAGTACCTCAGATTGTGACCTTATTTGTAAATAGAATTTTTACAGATATAGATGAGTTAACATGAGATTGTTAGGGTAGGTCCTAGTCCAACATGACTGGGGTCCTTATAAAAAGGGAAATTTGGACACAGACATAGATATGCATAGAAGGAAGTGTATGTGAAGAGACACGGAGAATGCAGGTGAGGATGGAGGACTGGAGTGATACTCCGACAAGTCAAGGAATACCAAGGCTTGCTAGCAAATCACTAGAAGCTAGGAAAAGGCAAAGAAGTTTCTTCCATTGGTTTCAGAGGAAACATGGCCCACAGGAACTTAATTTTGGATTTCTAGCCTCCAGAACAGTGAGACAATATATTTTTGTTGCTGTAAGTCACCCAGTGGTGGTATTTTGTTGTAGCATCTCTAGGAAACAAATAATACACTGCTTGATGTGTGATATACCATTTAATTGTTTAATTTCTGCTGTTCCCTACCAAACTTTAATTTCCATAAAGAAAAGGACATGATCTATTTTGTTCACTTTGGTACCCAAAGTACTTGGAACAGTGGCTGGCACTCAAATATTTGCTGAAAAAATGTAGGGATAAAATTTTTCATTCCCCCCCTTTTTTTCTTTGCTACTATTTGTTCTTTCTAAAGATAAATCTAATTTCAGGATTAATGAGATAGACAAAAATTTTAGCAATTGTAAAAGACTATAGTGGAAAATTTCCCTTTATATTTTATTATGGTTCCCCAAAAAACAAAAAGAAAAAGAACAACAACTCCTGGGGTAGGAACGAATTCTCTGGTAGGGGGAGTCTTAAACATCTTTGAGTGGGTCCAGGAAGGACTTTTGCCCAGAGATGGAGACATTGTGCACCCAGGGGACCTCTGGGGTTCTCAGGATTATGTTATTCTCTGTGTGTGTCAGCCTGTGGCCTGTTGATTGTGTAACTCGGAGTCCTGGCCTTATTGCTCCATTTCCTTCCTCTTTGCTATTACTGACCTCTGCTGTCTCAAAGCAGCACCTTTGCTCGCTTCTGATTTCCAGCCCGGAAAACATTCAACAAATCTCATTGCTCTGGAAAATAAAATTACCCAAGAGCTTCAAAGGCAACAGTGACTTGAGCTATTTACCTCCTGAAATGGCTTCTCACATTTGGAAGTTCATCTATGAGAGCCGCACACAGGTCACATGTCTTCATCCGTCAGGACTGCTGACAGGCAGATGTGGGCTGTATGTGCTCAAAAGAGAAAAGGAAACTTGATACAGCTTCCGGCTTTTCTCGACCACCGGATGTGCCTCCTGCAGCAATTTGCTGCAAACTCTTGTTATTGAGGTCACGCTATGACTTTTTCTTTTAAACATAAAAAAAATGTGTCCATCGTTTCATTAATTCTCACCCTTATCTAATTCAACCACCTCTTCTGGCCAACTCCTGAGAGGAAAAAATGTGTTTCTTCATTTAGATGAACAATCTAAGTGACTCATGAATAAAACATTTTAAAGATTAATGATCTTAGTGCAGTCCTTTTGATAATGTAGAAGCATGGTAGTCTAAAATAGAATAAAAGTGAAGAATGTGTTCATGCATAAATATCCCTCCTAATTTGTGAGTTTTGCAAAGTCCCATATGTCATGAATCATTAGCCTGTTTTATCTTGATCTTATACAATCATTTCAAAAATAAGACTGTGTAGATGTTGCCACCTACTGTTTGCCTGGAAATATACTATTATAATTCACTTTATGTAACAACACTTTTCCCTCTCACTACATTTCCTTTTCTGCAGTTACTATTGTTAACTCCTTCTTTTAAAATAATTTATTCACTTACTCTTAATTACTTCATCTACAAGCTCATTATAAGAAATTCTTCCACTGATCTATTGAAAAATCCTGAGGAAATGCCCTAATTTTTCTTGAACCTTCCTCAGTATGTTGAAATCATTTTCAGTTATGCAAAACATACAGTATGTATAATTTTTAATGTTCAAAACTCTATTTTAAAAATATATTAGTTTCTAATCAAATTTCAAGAAATTAATATTAATAGATTGCTTTTAGTTTTAATATTCAAATTAAAGATATTTTTAAAAAATCTGCTTTCTTTCCTGTAAATATATTTGTCAGTGGTTGAATGTCAAAATTTTTTTCTTTTTAAAATTAGGATAAAATACCAATTACATTATTTACCAGTTGGTCTTTTGAATTGTTTACTTTGTAGTCCTGTGATGTGTATGTAGCACCATTTTAAGTGTGTTACTGATTCAAAACAGAAATAAAGTAAAATTTTTTAAATCTTTGAAACCATATTTCAGGCTAATTTAAATGCCCTGAGATAATCTATGATCTGTAGACAAATAACTATGACTAGATTCAGTAATCATCATTATTAAAATCTGTGAACTATTTTACAGTTTATAAATTCCTTTGTATATTTTACTAAATTTGGGACTAGCCACAACACTATGAAGTAATTAGTACAGTAATCATTTCCTATTACAGAGAAAGAAAGACAAAGAAATCAAGGTACTTGTTGAGTATTACATGGCCAAAATTACTCTAAATACAGTTCTCTTAACTCCACAGCTTATTAACTTTTTACATTTTTATGAGCTAGTTTAATTAATTTACATACTTGACTCTTTTTTAACTTTTGCTTTGAGTGAATAATTTTAAAGTGTTTTAAAATAATCAAGCTCTCCACTTTTAAATGTCTGGGCAATTCTCTAATAACCGAGGTTGTCTGAAATGTTGTTCTGATCCCATGAAGCTAACCCTGACAGGTAGGTCCCGAAATGTTGCCTTTTCTAAGTACTATATACTGAATACTTGTCTTAGGAAAGAGCAGGTGCTTTAGGACGATAAAATGTACTACATTTCATTACTATTACTACTGCTGCTAACAAATTACCACAAACTGGAGGCTTAAAATTACACAAGAATATGACATCATAGCTTCCATAGGTCAGATGTCCTGTTATGATGTCAGTGAGTTCTGTGCTTTAGGTATCACAAGGTGTTGGCTAAGATGAATTTTTTTTCATTGAATTTATTGGAATGACACTGGTTAGCAAAATTATACAGGTTTCAGGTGCACGATTCTAAAACACATTGTCCTGTATGAAGCCTCTGGGGAACAATCCACTTCCAAACTTATTCAGGCTGTGGGCAGAATTCAGTTCCTTTTTGCTGTAAGACTGATGTTCCTATTTTTTCACTGACAGTTGACTGAGGGCCATTATCAGCTTCCAGAGGTCTCTTGCATTCCTTAGCTTCCTCACTTTCAAAGCCAGTAATGGAAAAATATTTCCCCTTGTTAATCCCTCTCCTGCTTTGAATATCACTTTCCTGTCTCTGACCTCTAGACACAGAGTTAAAGGATCCACATGGTTAGGTTAGGCACTCCTGGATGATTTCTTTATCTTCAGGACAATTCATTTTGAACCTTAATTACAACACAAAGTTCCTTCTCAGCAACACCTAGATCAGTGTTTGACTCAATAACTTGAGAAAGTGTGTGGAAAGTCTAGGAATTTGGGGCCCTTTTTAGAGTTCAGCTAACTGTGCTTGTCAGCTGTGCAGCTACAAGCATTTTCTAATTTGGCCTCTAGTCTCCAGTCTCTGTTTTAATAATTCCATAAATTCACATTACAAAGTGGGCCCCTCAATGCATCTTTCTAAGGCACAGTTCTGATTAAATGTAATATCTTGCTTAAATTGATAACAAAACAACCAACACTTTGAAGGCCTCTTCTAGCATGTAAGTAAGATCTTGGAAAACCAGGATCTGTACCACCAGCTTCTCTCTACCTTCTCTCACACGTCATTTAATTGAGAAATTGCCTTTTGTCCTGTGCACAGTGAGCTCAGTTTTTTCACTTCTCCTGCTCTGCCTCACCTTCAATTTTATAAGTACAAATCCCAAATGTTATTTCAAGGATGGATTCTGACACTAACTCCTCCTTTAAAAGTGTTTGCTCTATTTTATTTTAAAAATCTGTATCTCCAATGTAGTTAGCATGGCGCCTTGGGTTAAAGTTATTAATAAACACCTCCTTGCTTCTAAATGATGGATTCTTCTAGGCCAGATTGGGACTGAGTTCATCCTTGTCTCTCTGCAACACCCAGGAGTACCACATTGAGATATGTTTCAAAATATTTGTTGCATCATTAACTGAAAATCAAAATAGAAATCAGAATGTGCCAAGAGTTCATAGGCCTTCACTGGTAATGCTTGATGACATCTCCACATCTTTCAGGTTCAGGTTGATTGTATTTTCTTTTGTGGCTACTATTTTTCAAGATCACTGACTCAGAGCTGCTGCTTTAAGTTAAAGCAAGTTCTTCAGTGCTTAGCTAATACTAAATGATCAACTCCTTTAGGTTTTCTTCTATGATAAATGTTTTTTTTTACCTCCTGGAGAAAAATGTTTTCTGTTTAAATTTAAGAAAACTTTCAAGAGCTAGAGACAGATTTAGTCTTCTATCTAATTTTGTCATTCACAGAATTAACCTTTTTCTGGTATCAGGTGCATTTCTCTACAAGTCATTCTTTGATTAGTGGACTCTGCTGTATGAGTCATGTGTGACTCAGTAATTATTTTGGATTTTTAATGAGTTACCATTTATTTAAATAGGCTTCAGAAGCATGATTAGTCATTGTGAGATTCAGCTTGTACATTTCCAGTTAGTGACTAGTTAAAAATAAGAACAGAACAGATATTTACTTGGTAACTTTCCAAATTTTCAAAAGACTGCTTTATTTATCTAATTTTATTTCATGATGCATGTGTCTCAGTGGTTGTAGAAGACAGTACCTCTTAGAAACATATCTTACAGACACCTCTAGATTTTACAACATACTGGAACAAGTCATTTTGGAAACCTGGGGGGAAAAAAGAAGACTGGCTTTGAAATTCATTTGTAAGGGAAAATGCAAAAAATAATTCAAGAAACTTTTGAAAAGGAATGGCAAGGAAGATTTGCTCCAACAGATATCTTAAGTTACTTTAAATTTGTGGTAAATAATTAGTGAAACAATCAAAAATAGGTCAACAGACTGAAATATGAAATTCAGAAACAGACCATTTATGTTTGGAAATTCAGTTTATAAAAAAGATGGTCTTTAATTAAGTGGGGAAAATTATTAAGTAAATGATATTAGACCAGATATTACTCATTGGCTTGTTCTTTTCTGCTTCCATAGTAACAGAAGTCATGGTTTCCAGCTGGGAGTATGGCTGCCCACAGTAAAGACAACACTTCCCAGCCTCCCTTGCAACAAGCTAGCTATGTGATTAATTCCTGATCAATGGGATGTAAGTGTGAGAGTTGTGCTGCGATCTTAAAGTGAAGGGCATGGCTACCATTCCCCTTCCTCCTTCCTGCTGGCTGAAACACGGACACAATAACTGCTATCCTGGAGCAATCTTGGCCCATGTAGAAAACTCTTCATTGTGCTAATAAGATAGAAGGAACAGGGACTGCTGACCCTCACTACAAGTCCTGGCTTGACTATCTTTAAATTTTATTTTTGGAGGAAAATAAAATTCTGTTTTGTTTAAGCTTCTATTATTTTGAATTTTCTGTTAGCCTAGATGAACCTCATTCTAGCTGAAACAGATGTAAGACTTGATTATGCATTTAAAAAATAAATTTAAAGTTTAAAAAAGTAAAAGGAGAAGAAATATAAAAGAAACCACCTTATTAAAAACTATTTAAAGAAAAAACAAGAATTCCCAAACCCAAGGCATGTATTATTATTTTTTTAATCCTCACTTGAGGACATGTTTAATCCTCACCAAGGATTTTAGAGAGAGAGGAAGGAAGACAGAGAGAGAAACATCAACATGGGCAACATCGATTGGTTGCTTCCTGTATGCACCTGGATTGAGGGATTGAACCCACAAGCCCTTACTGGACTCCATCCAACACACAACATTCTGGTGTATGGGACATTGCTCCAACCAACTCAGCCACCTGGCCAGGACCCAAGGCATGTATATTTGAGCTTAGTTTTCATCTCTCTACTGCTAATGTAATGTCTTTAAAGGGACGTCTATTTATTTTTGTGGGATAATGATGTTGGCTTCAAAGTTCATTTGGAAGTTTCTTGATTAGGACCTGGAATATATTTTCCTATAGAAATTAAGTTGTGGCTCTGGCCAGTGTGGCTCAGTTGGTTGGAGTATCATCCCACACAATGAAAGGAAAGGTTGCATGTTCTATTCCTGGTCAGGGCACAGACCT